ATTTATTTATTTATTTATTTATTTATTTTTACAGATTGATCAACCAATGAATGTTCTTCCTGACCCAAGCTACTACCTCCGAAATGAATCCCATGATGAAGTGAGTACTTTAGCTTCGTCAAGTTTTATCTACATATATTTCGCAAAACAAAAAACTATCAAAAAAATTATTTAATTCTATGACTTCTGTAGATTATTGTTGGATACAAGGCGTACATCAATATAATTCTGACTGAGCTCGGACTTCAGGAACCAACTTTATCGGACATTGCCTCAGAAATATGGGACTTTGAAGTGGCGTTAGCTAAGGTGAGTTTAGTCTGCAGTTCCTATCCGTTCAATGAGTGGGTTAGTACGGAAGGGTAATACGATATTCAACTTTCATGCGTCAATTATTTAGTTGCTTTGTTAGTCAGTTTCACTACAGACCCTTCTATGAGGTATTAGTCGTCGTTTCTTATAATAATTGTTGGATTTTTATATTCTGTACCAATTTAAGATATTTATAGTATGTACGGGAGATGCAGGAGGTACAGTGAACAAGCATTGCAGTTCAAAGTAACAATGCGCGCATTGAACACGTGAATTGTTTGAAAAATGAAAACCCGACTTCGTTTCTGCGAATCGTACTGTTGATTCATACCAGTCGAAGTGTATGTATTTAGTGATAGCAATGTATAGTATATGTACACTAGTCTGTCGTCGCGATTCCGAATTGATGAGGGTGTTATCAAGGTTACGGTTGTATCGTCATTTATTAACCAAGAAGGCTGTTAACTTCGGATAACACGTATGATGTGGTCTACCGAAAGTCCTTGTGTCTGTTATTGTGCGCTGTAAACAAGATTTAAAACATACTAGTAATATTACCCCGTCAAGACAAATAAAAAAATTTAAATGTACAATAAAAACAAATTGTAAATCAGTGATAATAGTGGTAAATGCACAGTGACGCCGATGGTTATATATGACCGACCGTGCTTTGTAGGCTGTTTCACCGTGACCCACAACCACCTTGCCTAACCCTCACTGAGTACACACGCAGCTGAATACCTTAAACCGGAGGTATCGTATATCCCATTTTATTGCTACATTGTATAAGGCACTGACCTACACTGCCTCTACACGCTTATTAATTTAATATAATTTATATTCATAACGTGACCTAATTCCACTCTCAAACGCAATACACTGTCACGTTGAAACAACGTGTAAAAGTAAGGAAATGCGTTACGAAGAGTAGTTGTTCACTGGTTAAACTGTTTAAAATTGTACAAATATGAAGTCATATCAATAACAATTATCGTTGGCACATTTTTGTATCGTGTCAGTTTACACCAGCACACAGGTATTTACTATTAGCTAATACTTCTAAGACATTGTAACTTCTAAAGGTTACAAAATGTTGCATTTCAAAAACGTGACATTTTTCAAAACGTGACATTTTTCTTGCCAAAAAAAAACTAGAGATAGAAGCGTCTGGGACACGATTTTCTAAGAACTGATTAACGGCAAGAAAAAACAAAAAATCGACATATTCAAACTAAAATACAAATAAATGTGAATAAAGGGTCATAACAAAAATTATATTAAAAAAATGGAGCCTCATACCTACATCGGATTTTAATCAGATTTGTACTGGGTACAATACAAAAATTAAACACATTTTAATCAAAACACAGAGGGCGCTGGTCATGAAGGCGACTATTGTGGATATTTGGGTGATGTCTCCATTCTCTCCACAGATTTTTACTCCAGATGCTGAAAGAAGGGACATTCTTAAAATGTACAACAAAGTCACCATCTCTGAACTACAGGGCATCGCACCTGAGGCAAGTATTTGTCAGCATTGCGATTTCAATTCACCCTTCTTTATAAGTCGCGCCCTCAAGTGGCACAGTGATTATGTGACGGAGGGCTCGTCACATGTGCACGTGAGGGAATTGAGTACTTGTCCTTGACAATAACAATGTACGTTAAAAAAAACAAAGGTTCATTTGAATGCCGCGTGCGCCAGCCTCTACTGCTCAACGACTGCGGCATTTTAAGTAAATTAATGATGTGGTGATTTTATTGTGATTCTAGTTCGATTGGCTGTCGATACTAAAAACAGTTGCGTCTCCAACAGAAGTCGATGACACAGAAGAAGTGATCATCTATGCAACTGGTTACCTACAGCGCTTGTCCAGTCTCGTTGAGAACACGGATCCCAGGTATGACTGCTGAAACAACACATTTTTAAACTGAATATTGTTTTTTTCCCAGATTTTTGTTTGTTTTGTTTTCAAAAATGTTAATCCGAATTATCTTAGGCAATGGGAAATGATGCACTTTGAATAACATTGACAAAGAAATTACAGATAAGTATTGGCATTCAGAAGGTTATTATTTTGTACATCCAAGTTTATATAAATTACTTTCAAAATGTATTCTGTTTTAGTCAGCGCCAACTCCGATCATGATTTCAACCATGTAAATGGACTCGTATTACTTGTATAGGGAAGGATGGTGTTTGTGCTTGGTAAAATGTATAGTGCGTCGTTGTTTTTGGTTAATTTTCATAATGCGTGGACACTAATGGAGGCATTATGATAAGAATTAATATATTATCATTAATCATTTACAAAGTAACAAATATACATGTAACTTACTTGAAGGCGATCTGGACGGAGCCTTACTAAAACAGCTGTTGTTTGCACGACGACAAGTGGAAAATTTGGAATATAATGCTTTTTATTATTTTTTCTCCTAAGAATCGCGCACAACTACATGATGTGGCGTGTTGCGTCATCATATCTTGTGTATACGTCATCCAAAATGCACGACGCGTACAATCAGATAAGTAATACGGTAACCGGGGCGACGGCGGCGGAAGAAACATGGAAAACGTGTTACGGTATAGTTAGTACGTATCTGGATACGGCCGTAGGTGCGATGT